ATTTCGAACTTGTTTCGATTAGCCAATCAGATTTTGTATCGTCATCAGATGATCTACAAAAATTAGCCAATAAGAATTAAAGCCCGCTATGTTGTTAAATGTAACAGTCTCAATATATAACACGTGCTTGATCACGTGCATAAATATTACTGGTCAGTTTGTTATAGAGACATGTTCGATATAAAGATATAACGAGTTCACTCTATAACGGACCAAATCTCGGTGGAGTTAAGAAAGTAATACTTGGTTAATGGAATATAATTTTCATTTTCTTATTATTGTATATTTATATTAATTTAATGTGAAATGAAAAATAATAACATTTCATAAAATGATCACAGGTCCGCAGTGTACCAGAGCAGAGGATTTATTAAGTCAATAACTATGACTAAGGATGGTTTTTTTTAGCTTATGCTACTAAATTAACTTACGTAGACATTTTATATAATCAGGAACGGCGAATTTTTAAATTATTGATTTGATTAGATGTGAATGATACTTTTGAATTAATTTGTCTGTAAATACAGAAATATAAAGATGTATAATGTATTGATCATCATATAGGTTATTAAATTCATACTGTAATGATAAAATGATTAAAAATAATTTTTTAGCATAGTTTGGCTCGAAACAATAAAATGATCTAATTTCAAAACTTTTTTTTTCCCAAATAATATGCTATTATACAAATAAAATTAGCCATAAATATACCGTAATGAAAAAACTCGAACTCATAAGCTGTCATATTTTGAAACAACATATATCTTTTTTTTTTTTTTATTAAATTCAATAATCATTATCTTTCCAATAAAAGTGTTTGTTTTCTTTAATGCCATTTAAACCTTCATGGAAAGTAAAAACATTCGCTCAAATAAAGAACAATTTCTTACAAGCAATGATGATAATAGCAATGATAATGAAACAGATAACTCGATGGACACATTCATAGTCGATGATCTTAGTGAAGAATCAAATATCATTCGTAAATTTGGTAAACAAAAAAATTTTGTTCATGAAAACTTATGGGTTATTGTTACGTATTTATTAATTTTAAATTGAATATAATTAGATGATTTGCATGTGAAGAACAAAAATAGTAATGATACATCAGATGAGGAAGAATCTAGTGATTTTTATGAAGTTGAACGAATTGAAAAGCATAGAAAAAATAAATTAGTAATTACCCTTTACAAATTCGTTCATAATTAAATAATTTTTTGGTTCATTTAATCATTTATTTTTTATGCTTTATTATTATAAGGGCAAGTTGCAGTTTCTTATCAAATGGGCAGGGTGGAGTACAAAGTACAATAGTTGGGTTGATGCGTCTGATATGTAAGTTACTGTACCTTTCAAATCACTTAGTGTTCGAACATAATGCATTATTTATATATGTATTTTTTTAATAGGCATGCTACGGAATTGATTAAAAAATATTGGGATTATAAAAACAGTAGATCAAATTCACCAAGGACAAAACGGCAATTGAAAAAGCGAACGAGATCTATAGCAGTTTCATCAACAAAAAAAAAGTCCAATTCTTCTAGAATTCGCAAAAATATGAATACAAGTTCTGAGGATAATAATTTCAAAATTAAATCGGGTACAAGAATTCAAAAGTTATTGGGAAAAAAAGAGAAAAACCTGATGACGTCATTTTATTTAGAAAGTAGTAGCTCTGATGATGAAATTCAATATGCACCTGAATTTAAACCAAACTCTCCGACTCAAGAAGAGAATACAAGAGTTATTAGTTTCTATGAAAATTCTGGTTCAGTTCATTTAGAGGATAGATTTTATTCATTAGATTGGGAACAGGACGTTGACCGTATTGGATGGATCGAAAAGACTGAAGAAAACAACCTTGTTTTTCTATTTTGGTGAATTATTACATTGTTATTATCTATTTTTCGCACTTATTGTTATAGTGTTTACCTTATTTTTTTTTGATTATGAAATAAATGTATAGGAAATCAGGTCATATGACAAACCATCCTCTGAAAGAAGTTGAGAAAAAATGTCCCACCAAAGTAAGTTATACGTAATTTACACAAAGTTTACTTATATATAGCTTTAGCATTTTCTTTTTTAACCTTTTTTGAAATATATTATATATTCAGCTGACTCAATATTATCATAAGTATTTGGAATTTGATCTTTTATAAAATTTTTGAATCATTCACTATTCGAACATTCGAGCATTTCAGATAAATTTGCATGATGCATGTAGAATTTAAATAACGATCAATTTAATCGCTTTCAATGTAAAAACTACGTGCTCTTTAGTTATATGATCTATCCCAATTAATTTTAGAATTATTACAAAATATATATTTTTAAAAAAGTAACCCTATCATATTCACAATTTGCATTGAAACGATGAATTCCATTGCTTTTAGCTTGAAAATTTAGAAAATACAATAATTATTTCTAAAGATATTTTTAAGTGGACTATTCTTTCCATTTTGCGCTTGCGTGATAGATTTACTGTGTAAAAACTTCAGAGAAACCTTTAAAGTTTCGATTAAGTCAATAGTAATAGAGAAAGTGATGTCTTCGTACAAAAATTTTGCAAGAAAAAATTTTTTTTTTTTTTGTTGGCTAGTTTTTTAAGCAAATTTTGAGATGAATCAACAGAATGCAGACAAATTTTTTTAAGTAAATTTTTTAAAGCTTAAAATTTATTAATAATTATCAAACCAAATTTAATAAAAGTTTTTTTTTTTCATTTTGATTATGTATAGTTATAAGGTTAAATGAAAAAAATTTTTCAAAATATTTTAATTTAAATTAAAAAAACAATGGTTTGCCTGTTTTCTGTTGACTTCCCGTAGAATTTTTTTTATTCGCGAATTGGTTGGTACACTAGTCATATGAAGGTGGAATTTTATTGCAGTTAATCCTGAGTTTTATTTGTAGGATTCACATACCTGGGATTTACGCTACCTGAGCCATCAAAATGAAA